GTTTAACTGAAGCTTCAAGAATAGAAATCACTTACTCTTGCCTATCTATTTACATTTTCCTCATCGAATTAAGAACAACTGTTTCAAATTAAAGAAATCAAACCCAAATTGTCTAACCAGTAATTCACATTAAATAAATCTTAGATTCAGAGAATATGAAACATGGAAAGAATCTTAGAGATTATCTAGCCCAACCTTTGTATTTTAAACTATGAGGCCAGAGGCCAAGACAGGTTTAGTTACTTGCAGAAAGCCCACCAGTAATTAGAGAAAAAAATGAGAACCATTTTTGTTTCTCCCTATTCATTCCATTGCTTCATGCTTCCTGGAATATGCCTGCTATTATTTTTGGAAGTGGATTATGCAGAACAATAGATATATGGAGTTTGCAAAAATATGAACACCTCTATGTTTTAAATATATATTGTTTATGAGTGGCATAATAATCCAACTACAAAAGGATTCAATGTTTGTTCACTCCAAGTTTCATTTCCAATCCAAGTACCAAAATGGAAGCTAACATATTAATGGAAGCCAAGACTAATTTTTATGTATGTATATACTGTCCTATTTACAAAAAAAAAAAAACCAAACAAACTGAAATTACTTATTTAAAAAATAAATTATGCAAGAATGAACTATGTAAGCATCAGACAAAATTCAAGAAGTAAAGGGGGGTAGAAAAAATGTATCAGTAAGTCTAGACCAAGGAAAGTTGTGATTACTCGGTATAAAACTGTTCTCCGAACTTTCTGATAGCTGTTTCAATGAAATATATAGCTATTGAGAACAAAACTTTTCTCAAAAATTTACTAGAGTCCCTTCCTACTGAGGAATACATGTGTGAGTTGGAAACTGAAACATTTTCCATAAAAGATACCATAAAAGGTAGAAAATATAGTGGAACCTATGTTTAGATAATTTATAAGTTAAATGTGAACATGTGAACTGACCCAGAAAGCTTGTGTCACATCTTTCTATATTACTTTTATTTTCTTTTACTATATATATTTATAGTTTTGTTGTAAAAAAGTGTTGTCTTATTCCCAGAAAAGCTTGTTAGGTAAGGTTACACAAAATTGCAAGAAAACACAAAAATTATGTAGATAAGAAATGAAAGAAACCACCATTATAACATTTTTCATGTGTGGAACACGAAGGCTAAGTTCCAAATACAAAAATAAAAAGGAGAGAAAGAAGAGAAGGAAAGGAAATGATGGAGAGAGAAAGGGAGGGAAGAAAGAGAAAAAAAGAATAAAATAGGGAAAACATACTATTTACAATTTGGGATTGTCTATAACTGTAAATCTAATCCTGTGGCTGTTTGCAAATAATACACTTTCGTTTGTTAACACAGAAACAGCCATAGTTATCATGAAAACAATTAATAGATTTTCCAGCAGAGGTAAACCCTGACAGCCCAGATCAGCTGTTTCAACAACTTGCAAACCAACACTCCCCAGAGCCTTGTGGAAGGGACGCATATTAATATCAACTCTGTGACCACTCAGCACCATGACATGAAGTGTCTGTTCAGGAGGTCATCTCCAAAATGTATCCCATATATCTTCATGCACAAGAGATGATAATTTATCACCTAGATGTAGAGATCTACTGTAAATGAATCCAAACTGCTGATGATACACTAAATCAGTTTGAGTGATGAGTATAAACAAAGCTGAAAGTGAAGTACTGAAGGATACAGATCTATCTGATCAATGAGATATTACAAGGAAAATGAAATGTAATGTTGACTAACATGGAGTCCCTCACTTGAAAATTAACCAAATCAAGTTTCAGGGCATAAAGCCACACGTTAATGCAAGTTTTGAATCCAAGTTTACTATAATGGGAGTCCGAGAAATATTCTGTTTCAGATAAAACTGAACAGACTGGGTCAGTAAAAAAGGACATATTAAAAATGTATGTATTTTACACACCAAGGAAAGTATGACAGGATAAAGAAAAATGTTGCAAAATAATAATCCTTTCCAAATAACGTAACTATAAATATTCAATCTGCTGAGCAAATCTATACACACAGATGAGGAAAGAGAATAAAAAAAGTATTCAGAAAATGATTTCACATCAACTTGCTACCAGGAAATCAAATTCAATTTGTATTGTCCTTTTGAAAGCTTAGATATTTTCTGGAACTGTCATGCTACAACTTCAATGGGGAAAACAAAGAAATGGTGATAAAGAAGAACATTCCTCCAGACAGTTGATATTCATGGAAGGCACTCCCTAACAAAAAAAGATTTTCCCAACTATGTGATCAGAATAGAACCTTTCACACCTGGTAAACTAGGTTCTATAGATTCAGCTATTCTGAAGGTGTCCCTAACGGAAAGAGCTGATTAAAGTAAATTTCAACCCCTGCTGGAACAAATCTGTAAAAGTATATTCTACGTTAAATTATTTTTCAAGAAGTTAACATTTTTTCTTTGTTGTGTTAAGTATATATAGTTTTGCCATAACATATTTAGCTCTTGCTTTGTATTTTATCCTTTTTGGTTAATTTTGGGTAAAGATAGAATTATACTGCTAAAATGTGACCTGATCCCAGATATAGTTTATTTAAATTTCAAAATGAAAAGCTTAGTAAGAACTGATAAGATTGATTGCTCTCTCTGTCTTAGCATAATTGTATTTCAGGTGAACATCAATTTACTTTAAAGGACACTTCTAAGTAGCAGAATGCATCATAAATAATTCATCAATCACAGCTGCTAGGAACATGCTTTACTCCAACAGATTTCAATGGAACAAAAGTTCTATTTTCCTGTACTTATGTTTGCTTTAAAGGAGTTTAAGAATCCTCTTTTTCTAAGAATTTGCTTCTAAATTCCATACTTCCTACTCTAAATGGAGCTTGATAAAATTGTTTCTTTTCCTTTATTTTATAAAGCATTGCATTTTCTAATTGGAAAAAAAAAATTTAAATAACTTTCGAACAAACAACCTATATACATCAACAGTGAAACAACAAATACATAAAAAGTAGGTATCTGAAAAATAGTATTAAGATTTTCTTAAATATGTAATTCTACTAATATTAATATAATTTATTTTCACTTTATATAAGCCTTTCACTGGAAAAAAAGAAAAGCAGGCTTTCTGAAAATCTTTTATTGATTACTTAGGCTCTTACATATTTGAAATAACTTCAATTTAAAAACGCAAATTAAACAGATTCTAAATCATATAACTTTTCAAGTTTGGTCTGTTGATACAGTGTGCATCGTATCTATAACTTTCACTTGTCATACTGAAAGACACTGCTTACCTTACACATTTTAAAGTTTTCCATCAAATTCAGCAATCTTGCATTAGCAATTTCCTAAACTGTGAAATAGCTTTAAAATATATTGACAAGGAAAATTTTAAGAAAAAATAAAGCATTTTACTTACTTGCAAACCCCTTTGAAATACTGAATGGCCCATAAAATTAGCCAGCATTCTAATTAAAGCAGCACCCTGTAGGAAAGAATATTTTAAAAAGAAAAGAATTTCAAGCTAGTAACATGATTCCAAAATGTCCCTATATCAATCAAAAACAGTCAGCTTCATCCATGCTATTTTATTCTCAAATATAACAGTTCAGAAACAAGAGAATCATAAACATATATCACTTATAGGTAACAACTGCATTTTGTTTTGTAGATCTGAAAGTTTTGTGGATGTAAAACCTACGACTGCAGAATAGAAGTCTCCTGGACAGAATATCTCAGTACAATAATAAGCTATAATTCAGGTGAAAGAAACATTTTACTGAGCAATCTATATATAACAAAGTAAATAAAAAGTAGTTCCTGTACTTACCAGCTCATAAACTAGTAAGGGAGGGATATTCACATTAATTGATGTAAGTTTGGAGTAACACAGATACTTACTGCACCGCTGGCTCAACCAAGAATAGTTTAGTTGTGGGAGTGGAGAGTAGAGAGTACTGGTGAAAAGTTCAGACCCTGCTGGCAGACTGCTGGGTTCAAATACTGGCTCTGCCACTTACTCGCCATGTTTCTTTGAGAAAATTATTTAATTGCTCTCTTTCTCACTTTCCTCACTTTTAACATGTATTTAATAGTCATCTGTATTTCATGCGGTTGTTCTGAGGATTACATAATTTAATATATGCAAAGCAGTTTGAACAGGGTCTGAAAAATACTAAGCACTATATGAGCGTTAAGGAGCCCTGGTGGCACAATGGTTTAAGCCCTCAGCTGCTAATCAGTTTGAACCCACCAGCTGCTCCATGGGAGAAAAGACCTGGGATCTGCTTCCATAAATATCACTCGTTGCCGTCAAGTCAATCCTGACTCATAGCGACCCTACAGGACAGAATAG